ATTTTTTTCCTTATAAGTCAATGTGGAAAACACTTGTCATGGTGGTTAATTATATAAAAAATTCTAAATATTAGTTCAATGTAATCCTTTTATATATAGTATATATATATTAACAACTTGTAGGAGTAAATTTTAAAACTGTAATTTAATATTTTGTTAGGTGGAGGGGTTTTAAATATTATATTCTATTGACTTGAAAAAAGAATGACTAAATAAATTAACAAGAAGTGTAATGAAAAAGAATAATGATAATTGGGATTAAAATTTAAAATTAATAATGTTATATAAGTTACATAATTTAAAATATTAAAAATAAATTTTATATTATTTAATAATTACTTTTTTTATTTTTTTTAAATTTATAATATTATATACATTAATTAATTTAATAACATGACTTATTACACCTTATTAATCTTAAATATTTTCGTCTTAAATTTTTACCCACTCTATCATTATTTGTTTTTTTTTTTGTATGGACCACTCGGTATCTAAAAACTCGTTAGATCATTAATTAATTCAAATTCGAGTAGGGTAGAACTCAACAGACAATAAAATATTTCTTCATGAATTTTAACAAAATTATATTCTTAAAACTTAAAATCAAAATTTTTGATTAAACTGAAAGAAATCTTTATCAACTCATTTACCTATCTGTGGTTCCACCCTATCACTACTTATAGTAAAAAAGTTCAGAGATAATCGGACGTGAGATTTTGTTTTGCAATATTCTTGTCCTTTGTGTGTGTGGGAGAAAAGTGAAAGGCAAGCAAGCAAACAAGCAAACAAGCAAACAAGCAATGGCAATGCAGTAGAGTAGAGTAGAGTAGATTAGATTAGATTAGATTTAGCTTAACAAGGATCCACGTTGCCATTGAATCGGACAAGGACTCCACCCAACATTACTTTGTCCACGATCGCCATTAATATTCTGCTGTGCTAAACTTCACCGTAATTGCTATATACCCTCTATTTTTTTTTTATTATTTTATTTTCTCAGTTTATATATCTATGTATATACTCATTATCATTTGTTTGTTTATAATTTCTTCTCTACAAATAATTAGTTAAGTAATTCATTCTAGATAAAAACTGCTACTGTAGTGTATATTTACACTGAACCAGCCAGCAGCTGCTGCATGCAACATGACTTGTGTACATACGTAACTCCACGTCAGTTATAGTATTGGTCACCAGCTCAACACTCTATCTGATAGCCCTATATTTTTTAATTAACCTTATCATCTTTTCGGTCATCTTTATAAATAAACATTATCCAATTAGCACCTGACCCTTGAGGTTTAGTAGCATTAGTCACGGGTGCATTCTCCCCGAGTAAGGTTCAAAATCCACTCCTTGCAAAATATGTTAAAAAAAAACATTATCCAATTAACTAAATGGCCTCTTTTGAATAACATTAGATTTTAGATTAGGATTGTTTATTTTTTATGGATTATACATTCGAACCTCATGGATATCTTTTTCTCTCATTTTTAATTAACTTATAAATAATTGTAATATATTAAAAAAAAAAAAACATTATCCAATTAACCGAGAAACTCCAAATAGGGTAATTGGCTGCTTTCACATGGTGTTTCTCATGGCATTTAAGTTTGAATCCTTCTGATTCCCTCATCCTTTACAATATAACTTTGTTCAAAAAAAATTAAAAACGTTATCCAATGAACCTTTTTCCATGAGACCACTACTAGTTGACTAGTAGTTGTCATTTTTAAGAGATAAATACAACAAAAGGGGCCAGGTGAAGAGAATGTGCAATGCCTTTGCGGCTAGCCATCTCAAAAACATATGTGGCACGTGGAGAACATATATATGGGTGATGCCAAGAGAATACCTCACCTACACGCCGGTGACTCCTCACTAGTCGTCCCCGCCACGTGAAAGAACTTACCTGGCTAAGAGGAGAAGGAGAAATTCTGGTGTATCTCTATAATTTCATTGATATGGTATCTCGGATCAATTTAAAATCATTATTTTAGCCTTTTTTTCTTGAGTGATTGATGATAAGGTGTTAAAAAAACTAAAGTGGTGTTTTTAAGTTAGCTTGGGGATACTACATTAGTAATATCCTAGAGATACGTTAGAATTTTTCAAGAAAAAGGAGTTCAATTTGTGTTTAGTGATACACATTTAACAATGATAATTTAAAAAGAAAATATAAGAAATATATTTTTTATAATTAATTTATATTAAAAATTATAAATATTAATATATATTTTAATATTATTGATATATAAATAATTTTAATTAATTAATTTAATTAAAATTAATATTTAAATTTTTAATAAAATTTAATTAAAAAATATATATTTATTACATTTTTATCTTATATCATAAAAATATAAAATAAAATAAACTCTCAATTATTTAAATCTAAATATTTTTTTGACCAGTAAAAAATTGAAAAATGAGAAAATAGTTACAATATTACTATACTGACAGCTTGAACCCTTGATAAAAAAATCAAAGGTATTGATGCACTTTCATCACGGATAAAACCGTAAATGCATTTAAATCTAAATATTAAAACTTTAAAGCGAACAATTATGCATAAAGATCCTGCTCGAAAAAACGCTTTTACAGGTACGAGATAGAAAATTTCTAATAATAATGCACTTGTTCAACGGATATTATTGCCGTTAACATTCATTGTGAATGGCTCCATAAGATCTCCACTTTAATTCTGCCAGTTGGCCTCTTTTCAGATTAAATAATTCATTACAATTCTCTGGGCTCTCTAATCAGGACATCAAGGGGCAAGATGATTAAGCAAAAGCAATAGCCCATTTATTTAAGACATAGAGCCTATGCTTAGCAAGCGGCCGAGTATTAATTCTGGTTTATGTACTGTTTTTTTTTTTAAGTGCATTATGAATTTTAAAAGAAAGAATAATTTTTTTTAAAAAAATTATTCTTACCTCATTTAAAATTTAAATTTAAAATATTAAATTATTAATCATTAAATTATCTCATTATAGTGGTTTATATACGGCCGTTTATTATCAAAGGACATTCTTAAAAATCAAATTTTGGAATTTTCTTATACCATAACATTATTATGTATTATTGGTGCGGGGTTTTTAGACTTGTACATACTCAATATTATTTCTTAAATTTGGATTAAGGATTACCAAATTTAGGCTTTATAACCAACTTGTTTGACAAAAAGTCTATAAATAGAGTATAAGAGAAGAACTAGGAGTTTTCTGTTTTACAACATGTTGTGGACAGCCTCAGCTTAGATGTAAAATTTCAAGTTGGTGATTCCTGTTTCCCCCAGTATCCATCTTGATATCTGTAAATATGGTACCTGGATGATCTTCTTCATCCCTTTGATATATCAGGCATAACACATGCAATCACTCTCAAGAATCAAATCTGATTCTGCATTCCAGGAACAATCTTCAGGTCCAGCTACTTTGTATGGTTTTATTCAAGCAAAAGCATGATCAGAAAAGCCTTTAGATTTCATCAGGTAACACCACAGTTGATGTGAATTTTGGGAAAAGTTAGATGCAAAGGGCCTGTACAGGTTTATTAACAGGTTTGAAATATCAAGTAAATATCACATCTCCATCTCAAGAGAAATATATATATCACATACCTGCAGGCAATATCTGAACCTGTCAAAGGCCTGCACGATGTCAAATAATCATAATGTAGCCGGATCATCTCATGTTCCAAAGCTAGCACCACCAGAGAAACAAATTGAGAATCAGGCTGGAGATACAGCTGCACAATCCTCAGTGACCTTCATCTACCAAGCTAACATAGCAGATATGAGCCGCAAGGTAACACTTTCATGGTTCAAAAACCCCACCAACCATTACTTTAACTTCATTGTGGAAAACCCTTCCGACGAGAAAAATCCTTACACCTGCAAGATTGATTTAAAGACATGGCAGTTTTGGGGTAAAAAGGGTCTCAAGAATATTAACATAGAAGGCAGACTGGTAGAAGTTTATTGGGATATTAGACAGGCAAAATTTTCAACCAGCCCTGAGCCATCCTCTGACTATTATGTAGCCATTGTTGCTGGAGAAGAGGTGGCTGTGTTGTTAGGAGATTTGAAGGAAGAAGCTTATAAGAGAACCAAGAAAAGACCTCCCTCAATAGAACCTACCTTAAGATGCAAGAAAGAGCACGTGCAAGGGAAAAGATTGTTCTGTACAAGGACAGCATTAGCCGAAGGGGAAAAGGAACATGATATTATGATTGAGAATTCATTATCCGGACATGATGATCCAGAGATGTGGATTAGCATAGACGGGACAGTTGCAATCCGAGTCATGAACCTGCATTGGAGGTTCAGGGGAAATGAGACAGTTCTAGTGAGCAATACACCAATAGAAATTTTCTGGGATGTGCATGATTGGCTATACAGTAGTGCTGGTGATGGTCCAACCCATGGCTTGTTCATTTTCAAGCCAAGCACACCATATTCTGAAACTGATAGGAAGTCTGAAGGTAGAAGATATGACTCACCAAAGGAGAGCCAAAACCAATCCACCTCTGAATTCTGCTATTTTCTTTATGCTTGGAAAACTGAATAGAAGTCCAACTCAACAGCAAACAAGATTATCCCACATGCAACAGACTTCAGAAAATTGTAAGCTTATCAATTTATTAGATATTGATGTAGTATTTCTCATTTTTCATGGACTGTTATGTCCATAGAATTCAAATTAGTTACCTTGATTTCTTTATGTTGGTAGTTGCTTAGAAATTGTGACACTCCAAATCCATAGACATATATATGGAGAGAAGGAATAATTGTGATTATATACATAAGGATCATGACAACTCCAACCACTACTAACAATTTTCGAAGCTAAACATGAAGAGTTGAAAGAGACTAGTGGGAGTTTGCCTAGTCATAATCATCTGTCTTTTCGCTTCCTAGGGAGTGAAAAAGCTTAAGGATGATATTAACATCTAACGTAAAGATTAGGGACACAAAAAGAACAAATATTATCCATCCTAGATATCTTCACGCGCCCATAAGAAGTGTGCCCGTCACGCGTCCTTTTGAGCAAACTTGTGTCCTGTTCTATGGAGTTGCAGACGGGCCAATTTTGATGGTAGAGTCAGTAGAGGCCATGATAAGGAATTGAGTTTGAAAATGGCGATTCTCGCGGCTAGCATCGGATTCAAAGTCTCGTTCGGACTTCAGTTTCGGTTTATGTCTGCTTCCAGCCCCAGGTATGAATTTTCACTGCCATTTTTAGCTTTTATTTCAGTTTCTGTTTGCTTGCCAAGAATGTGAAGGAAAGTGAAAGAAAATTGATGCACTTTTTCTTTTCAATTTTGATTCCCTGATGAAAGAATGAAAAACCCATTTCATAATATTAAGAAAAAGAGGCTAAAATGGTTTGAGTTATTGAAAGATTTTGGCTTTTCGAGAACATTTAGGAAGCCCAGTTCAGTTGACATGTTGTGTGTTTTCTGATGTTAAAGCTTTAATTTTTAGGGCATACAGAAATAGAGCAGTGTTCTGTCTGAAAGGGAAGGACTATAGTTCATCAGGTCCAGTTAGGTATATACCTAAGAAATCTTTGAAGCCTAAGGAGCCAGAAAATTCTCTGCCTTTGAAGAAAAATGACAGCTTAAATTCAAGTGCATTGAAGGGCAGCAGATCGTTGGTTCCAGTAAGGGATAAAACTAAAGAATCTTTGAAATTTACTGAGGCACAAAATTCTTGCTCTTTCGAGGATTTGAGGAAAACTAAGTCTTGTGACAGCTTGGATTCAGCTGCATTCAAGGGTGGTGGGGACTATGGTTCATCACTTCCTGTTAGTTATACTGCTAAGAAATCTTTGAAAGCTAATGAAACAGAAAATTCTCAGTCTTTGAAGGATTTGAGCAAAAGTGATGGTTGTGACAGCATGGGTTTAGGAGCATCCAAAAGCGGGGATTTTCATGTTGCAGTAAGGTTGACACCTTTGGAAGCTAATGAGCCAGAAAATACTCTGCCTTTTAAGGGTTTGACTTTGAAGGAAACTGAGTCTTGTGACAACTTGGATTCAAGTGCATTGGAGAGCATGGACAATAGTTCATCCATTTCAGTTAGGCATAAGAGATATTTGGAAGCTAATGAGCCACAAAATTCCCTGTCTTTGAAGGACTTGATGAAAGTTGAATCTTGCAACGACCTGAGTTTGACTGCTTTGGAGAAAGCGAACAGTTCATCAGTTCCAGCAAGGTATACATTGAATAAATCTTTGGAAGCTAATAAACAAGAAAATTCACAGCCTTTGAAGGATATGGGAGAAAATGAGTTTTGTGACAGCTTGCATTCAAATCAGTTGAAGGGTGGGGACTACAGTTCATCAGTTCCAATCACGAGAACAACTAAGAAATCTTTAAAATCTAATGAACCAGAAAATTCTCCACCTTCGAAGGGTTTGAGGAAATATGAATCTCATAACAGCTTGGATTTGAGTGCAGTGGGCATTAAGGTCATGAACAACGGGCCTGGTGTAGCACGAAGTATTACGTTTCTTGAAAGGTCACATAAACGAAATGCTGTCCACAAGAACAACATATCACATGATAATCAAGGTACTTCATTCCTTCTAACTTGCTTTGAAATGAATTGCTGGCAACAAAGAGAAGAACAAAATAAAGTAAAAAAAAATGAAGAAGAAGAACGTAAATATTAATCCAAATTTTGTTACATCCTAAGCATGTTAAATCTATTGGGATAAAAAGCTCTAGTTAGAGGAGCATAGGCTTCAAAACTTTGAATTTGTACTTTACCAACAAAGAAGTAGTGGGTGTTTTCTTTTATTTTTTTTTATTTTTTTATTTTTTATTGTGCAAGGAAGTGGAGTTACAATATAACTCCAAGTCCCAATAGCAAGCAAATTGTGCTTGGATAAGGGTTTATTTTAGGATGCAATTGAGAACTTCAGTGAATTCATGTTTACATGAATGTATACAAGTTCATATTCTTAAGAAATGATGTATACAAGTTTGTGTAAATCTCTTAATTTGATGGCATTTAAATGGAATCTTTCACAATTTACTATTGAATTTATTCTTGCAATTATTATTATTATTTTTTTTTAGTGACATGATATGTTAAATTGTTCAACAGTCTTAGAGGAAGAAATTGTTGATGATATGGCGGTTATGGGCAATGAAATCATGGAAGAATCAGAGGAGCTTGGTCAGGAGATAATGATCAACCAAGGGAAGGATAGTCTTGAAGAGAAAGTGTTACAAGCTGGTAAGACAATGCAAGATGTTGAAAACTTGGCAGTTAAACTACTTGCCTTAAGGTTAGATAATAGTCTTATTCTTCAGCAGCAAATGCAATTAATGTTTCAGTTTGTAACATTATATTATATGCTTCACTATATTTATTTATTCAACTGTAATTACATTATTTTCCTTCAGAGCATTTACAGCAGTTGAGCTGAGAAAGAAACTGCAAGGAAAGAGATTTCCTCCAAATATTATTGAGGCAGTGGTAAAAAATTTCCAGAGGAGGTATGTAAATTTGAATATCATCTTTCTTTTCAAAAATTTTGTGAGCCAGCACTTTCTGAACCCCCTGTATATTGAAAATGTTATCTGGCAAAATGGTTTGTTGGTGGTGGATGTGTTTCCTTTTTCTTAATTCCTGCTCCTAGTTGTGTGCAACTTGTGAAAAAAAAATAAGTGCCATTCTCTAGATCACCTCTGTGATTTATATTCCCAAAAGAATGTTGGTGAGAAACATGTGCATAGCTAGTAAATTATCTGTTCTTCAAATTCACTTGCATAATCTTTTTTCCGACAAAGTGCTCATCTTATTTTATAATCCATCAATTGGCAACACAAGAGTCGTGGGATTGTTGACATAAGGAGTTGCAGTCTTATTTTCCATAGATTCCCTCATCAAAGATGGATCTTGCAAGTTAGACATAGCCAGAAACTCAGAGTACCTTGAATTAAATTGCATTTCAGAAAACACAAGTTAGGAGTGGGTAGGAATGTAGAACTTTTTCCTGCCAAATGTGGTCCTTGAGGACCTTGCAAAACTTAGAGCAACCCAATCATAAAGGTAACACACTTTTAGATCAGAGACAGTGATAAGATGGTTTGGTATTTAATAATTGATCAATCTATATGCATCTCTTTGGTCCGCATGGGCTGTATTTTACCCTTTGTTTACATTCTATGTCAGATGAGCCGTTAGTCTCTTTGGTGTCTTGTAGGGGGTTGATCAATGATGGCTTGTATGCGGAAGCATTTTCCAGATCTCGATGGTCTTCCTCAAGCTGGGGCCCAAGGCGGATTAAGCAAGTAAGCTGCCATCTTTTTGAAGTTTTTTTTTTTTCTTTCTTTCTTGAGTATTTTCCATATATTTAATGAAGTTATGAGGATGTCTATAGTTAGACCTGATATATCTTAGACTTATCCTTTTTTTTTCCCCTTTTTATTGTAAGCATTAAGTTTTAATCACAAACCTTGATACTCGCCCATCAGAGCATATAAGAGACACAAAAAAGGGGATATAGTTCAGGATATTATTGAGATCTTTAGTAGTTAAATAAAACAAAAGCAATGTAAATTGGAAGCAAAAGAAGAAAGAAAATTAAAAGTACATTTGTTTCCAAATTTTGTAACATGTACCTATGTGATTGAACTTTAATTATTGTTGTATCAGGCATTGTCCAACAAGGGAATAAATAAGGTAGATGCAGATAAGGCAATAAGATTGGTTTTCGAGGATGGCAAATCTAGTGGTGATCAAGAATCTAACATTGGCATGTCGAAACTTTCCATGGATCACCTACTCATTCAGGCGTCAAAACAATGGCTCCGAATTCAAGATGTTCCCAAAGAGACACGTAAATCAAGGATGATTAGATGGCTTCAATACCGTGGTTTTAACTGGGGAGTCATTGGTTTCATATTGAAGAAGTTGGAATCTCAATACCCTCCTTAGTCTTGCATTATGATCTCTCTTTTTACTATCACGCGTGGAAAGCTCTTGTGCATCTAAATGAAAGCCAATGCCCATCACTTCAAATGAAAGTTGTGACGGGATAGGATTCAGCTGCCTTTGGCGTATATTGCTTGGATGAAGCTAGTTGTTGTTGCCAAACTTCATCTTCTGTCGGCATAACTTGTTGCTTTCTGAGGTACTTCTGGAGGGATATATCTAAATTTTAGAATGGTCCAGTAAAGACCACGTACATTGTTTAGAAATTGATTGGATCCACAAATTTCTTTTCACTGAATTTGGAGATATTCCTTTCTATTCATATACTGGCATAGTTATCATCTTACTGATCTGTACTCGCAGAACAAAAATTTACTGCAATTGATATGTGTTTTTATTGTTGTTTCCTCAAGAGCCCCTCAAGTTGTTGGACCAAATAGAGACAACGAAAGGATTCTAGTTTTCACTTTCAAACTATAGAAAACACCAGTATCCAACTGAAGACAGATTGAGGAAGCATCAATCTTCAGAGGGTAAGAGCTGCACTCAAATCAAGTTATCTTCTCCAACAGGAACAGGCCTGTATTATCCTGATCTTGTGGATCTTTATTCTCCTTACATGTGCATCCGAATTCTTTGTGGAACAGTTGTTCTGTTTTATTTCATTTTTGTACATGGTATAATAGTCTTGCTTCTATCATGTGGTGCTGATTAGGACATACAAAGATTCCCTTAAAAACCAAGGTGAAGACCTTTTATTTTGCTGGGAAGTCTTTTTCAGGCAGCACATAGACATGTGGTTGTGAGCAGCATAGGCTGGGACCATTTGTTCTCTCCCTTGTTTTAAGACAGTGGGGAGAGAAAAACAGAGACTTCATTCTCTGGCAATAAATTCTTCCTACATAAATCCCAAGCTACCAATCATTGTTTCAACTTCCACATGGCCTGTAATCCTAACTCCCCAGATATCCCTTGTTGTTTTATAGCTAGTTAAACTAGAAGGTAATTCCTCGTAAATTCTTTAGAGATGCATATGATAGATTTGTAATATATTCTGGTATGTGCAAACTTAGGATCTCACTCTAATAAAAAGAAATCTTTATGTTTTTGTTTTTGTTTTTAACTTCTCTCTTGGATAGAAAATTCTGTTCGTTACATGTGCTTAACAAAATACAATAAGAAAATCTAATACATGAATACCAGAGAAACTCTAAAATTCTTCTTCTGGATTTTGCTATGGATTATACACAAACTATTTAGGCACTCAAATTTTAACCTCTGCCTGAAGATTGGATTGAATCATCAGAGAAAGTATAAGAGCAACTAGATGATCCCTGAGAAACTATAATTCTAGGAGGTGGTGACGGCCAAGGGCTTGACAAGGCTGCTCCTCCTCCTTTTGAGATGTCTGTATCCGGCCTGGTAGCCTCAATACCCCGGATCTCTTTGAGCATTGCCACGACATCTTTCATCGTGGGACGGTCGTCAGCTCGTATGCTGACACACAGAAGTGACACGGCTAATGTCTGCAGCATTTCATGCATTGCAGGATCAGCCCTCCCCCTGAGCTTTGGGTCAAGAATCTCACCTGGATCTCGCTTAGCAGCCATATGGTCCCTAACCCACTGAACCAGGTGTGCACCCCCTGGTAAAGTCGGATCTAATGGGTGCCTCCCTGTTAGAACCTCTAGTATGACCACACCAAAACTGTACACATCACTTTTCTCAGTGATAGGCTGCATTGATGCATGTTCTGCATCAAACACAGCATCAAAGATTGGAAATTTAGTAAAATCATCAAATACATATATAAAAAGAAATTCAAATCATCTATGTTATGTAAACTTGAGATCAACTTAAGGAAAAAGATAGAACATTACCTGGAGCCATGTATCCGTAGGAACCGGCTAAGTGAGGTCTTGGGCTCGCTTTAGAAAATTTGCCTTCACCATTGTCGTTCTTCAATACTCTGGCTAACCCGAAATCCGCAAGATAAGCCTCATAGCGAGGACCTAACAGCACATTCATGGCTTTCACATCTCCATGGAGAATTGCTGGGACACAATCATGGTGCAAGTATGCAAGTGCGTGTGCTACACCTAGCACAACCTCATACCTGCCCTCCCAGTCTGCTCCTCCCTTCCCAGCGCCATGGAGGAGAGAACTCAAGCTCCCATTTGGGTGGTAATCATAGAATAACAGCTTCAGATTCCGGTTTGATCCCCACCCCAGAAGCCGGACAATGTTTCTGTGCCTGATTGAGCCCAATGTTTGGATCTCGGAAGTGAATGGACCAGACTCCTCTGATGACCACATCTTCTTCACTGCTAATGTTACCCCATTGGGAATTGTCACCCTGTAAACAACTCCGGAGCTACCAGTGCCAATCACATTAGCTGAGGTCAGGTTGCGGACAACGTCATCAATTGAGAAATCCAGCTTCTGATACAAAGTCACTTCCCAGTTATCATCTTCCCGTAGGCCATTGTTAGCTATCCGAGCTCGAACCAACATGTATATTGCAAGTAGTACTAGAACTGCACTAGCACTAACCAGTATGGACATCACTAGCTTCATAGCCTGTTTACCGTGCTCACTGGGGCTGATGCTGTCTCCCGGAGTTGCAACCGCACCGGAGATGTAAAGGCCTTGGTTTGATTCAAAGTCACTTAGAGGGAGCTTTCTGAAAAATGGGGTATTGGGGAGTTGACCAGACAAGTTATTGAATGAGACATTGAGGGTTATAAGGTTTTGTAGGCTTGCAAGGACATCTAAATTCCCAGTAAGCTTGTTGTGGGAGAGATCAAGGACTCCTAGCTGGCTAAGGTTGGAGAACTCCGGTGGGACCTCACCGGAAAAGTGGTTGCAGCTTAGGTTGAGAGAGATTGCTAGCGCTGAAATTTGTCCGAGTTCCTTTGGAATTTCACCAAAGAAGCCGTTGGCACCTAAGTTTAACAGCTGCAGTTTACTGCAGGACAATATCTCCGCCGGAATTCCACCGGAAATTTGATTCTTCCCCAAGTTAAGCTTGGTCAGTTCAGTTAATGAACCAATGGTACGAGTCAGTGGACCTGAAAGCCTGTTGTCTGAAACATCTAAGAATTGAAGGCTTTTGGGCATATTCTCAGGTATAGAGCCAGTGATCCCATTTGAGTGGACATCAAGAAACTCAAGGTTTTGGCATCCAGAAATTGAAGGAGGAATTCCCCCAACAAGGCGATTCTGGCCCAAATCAACAAAATTCAAGCTCTTCAATTTTCCTATCTCTGATGGAATAGTTCCTGCTAGCCTATTTCCATTCAGTCTCAACCTATACAGATTTGTGCAGTTTCCTATATCTGGAGGTATAAATCCAGATAGATCATTGGAAAGAAGCAACAACTTGGTGAGATTTCTCAACCCAAAAATCTCTTTAGGTATTGAACCATAGAGGCTATTGTAGGATAAATCTAGTGCCTGGAGTTCCTGGCACTCAGAAAGGCTGTCTGGGATATTGCCTGTTAGCTTATTCTGCCAGGCAAAGAATAGAGTCAGGCTCTTTAGGTTGCCTATAAGGGGAGGAATCTCACCGGAAATGGCATTGTTGTCAATTTCAAGATGAATCAGCTCGGTGCAGCTTGAGATTTCAGAAGGAATTGTACCTGATAGCTGGTTGACACTCAGCTGGAGTTCTTGAAGCTTCAAAAGGTTCCCAAAACTTCTTGGGATGCTTCCTGTGAGAAGATTCTCTGATAAGTCCATGACTGTCAACTCAGTGCAGCTTCCAAGCTCATCTGGGATGGTTCCCACCAAGCTGTTTTGCCACAGAAGCAAACTCTGCAGCTTCCGGAGCTCACCAATTCTGCGGGGGATTGGACTGGAGATGGAATTCTGATACAAATACAGATTCTGCAGCTCACTGCAGTTTCCAATCTCTTCTGGAATAGCACCAGACAGCAATGATGTGTAGATAGCAATAGTCTGAACTCTCCTCAGCGTTCCAATTGATGAAGGAAGGCTTCCAGAAATGCTGGTTTCAGCAAGGCCTAACATAACCAGCCTGGTGCAGTTTCCTATCTCCCTAGGTAGCTCACCCTTCAGGTCTTTGTTCCCTCCTGCTCTGAAAACCTCCAGCTTCCTCAATTTTCCAATGCTCTGTGGAATTTCACCACTGAGCTGATTGTCATAGAGTGTTAAATTAACAAGATTGGAGAGATTTCCTATTTCAGCTGGAATTTCACTTTCAAGGAAGTTTGTGTTGAGAGCTAAACTCTGCAGCTTCCAAAGCTTGCAAATTTCCGTAGGTATCCCACCTGAGAGAGAGTTGTCACTGAGATCAATCAAAGTAAGCTCCTGATAATCACCAAATTCTTTAGGAATTGTCCCTGTGAAATTGTTTGATGAAAGAATAAGGGTCTTCAAGGACTTGAGGGGCTGAAAATCTGAAGGCAGTGAGCCTTGCAAATCCACTCCCTTTAAGCTTATCTCCTCCACTTCCCCATTTGTATTGCAGTGAATCCCATACCACTTGCATGGACTTTGGTCCAGTGAATTCCATGATCTTAACACATCTGTGGAGCCGTTTAGACTGTTCTTCCATGCTAACAAAGCTTGGCCTTCTTCATCAATGGCAAAACAAGTGTAGAACACAAGTAAGTTTAATGAAAGAAGCAAAGTGAGGGACAAGATATTGGGAGAAAGATGGAGATTCCTTAGAGTTGCAGGCATTGCTTAGGCTTGGAAATGATCAGAACAGTTGATTTGTTTTGGGATTGTAGAGGGTGGAACCCCATGTTTTGTTTATAGAACAAAAGCAGGCAGATCTGGATCCAATTTCAGCTTCATAATTTTTTTTTCTATTTATTATTATAATTATTATTATTCTAAGCTATACATGTTCTTAATTAAGACATGGTGATGCAGATGTTATGTAACTGAAGTTTTCATATTAAAATACTATACAGATCTTTTACAGTCTGTTATCCTAAAAAAGAAGACATTTCTCTCTTTGTTAATTTTTTGCTTACTGTCAGCAAAGATAATGGTATTCTCAATTTAAAATTACATATCAAGAAATTCTTTGTTTCTGAGTTTTGACAGTGATGTAATATGGGCCTGTTTCTTTCCTTCTTTTCTGTCATTTTGTCAGTCTAATGATTTCCCAAAAATTTTTTCTAGACTTTGATAAAATGGCTGCATGGTGGTTTTGCAATAGGAGTAGAGAGGATATTTCATGTGATGTTTGTTAACAAAGCAATCCCAAAATGTGGTCCATGAAATATTTCTGTGGCCACCATTGCTGAACGAACCATGTGTTTGTTGCCAGTAAGTCTTTCAATAATTTAAGCAGCTAAAGTACACAATGTTTTATCTGAACCTTCAGGCTTACTCTTCATCAAGTCAACAGGCCAGAGAAATTCCATCACCAAAAAGTCAACAGGTAGAAATTTGTTTATCATATAGTATTTACAGTACATTTGGGTGAAATTTTGGGATTTTTTGCACTGTTTATCTTGTAGAAGGCAAAGTCGGATCTTTGAACTCTCCTTGAAAAAATCAAAAAAAAAAAAAAAAAT